ATAGTATTTCATGCATGTATTTCAACTGTAGGGCTAATACAATATGTCCCCTATATGAACATTATATAGACCTGTTGTTTAAATCAAATTTATGCTTTAAAAGTAGGGTAATCATAGCAGGTTTCATTCATAGTTTGTCCGTTTAAACATCTGCTTTTAGCTTCAAATGACATCTTTGACAACAGTATTATATAAAAATTATTTGCATTCCGATTCTGACATCCAAAGGCACAACAATACATTTTTTCTATTATTCCATGGATTTTACCCGTTCCCCTCCACTTGTTCCCAGTGTTTTTATGCCACCACAATGCGCGCGCAGCTGCAAGTGATGTAACTGTGACGTCTACTCCAAATTGGTCTATAAGGGAACATTCCGTTTTACCATTTTCAAACTTTAAGGGAATGTTACTTTTGAATGTTCTCTGAACATTCCGAAACAAGTAGTAACATTTAAGAAATGTCAGTCGAACAAAACAACATTCCATGAACAATGTATAACGTTTTTCCAATTGAACTAATGTTCTATTCATGATACTGAAAGAACGTGTGTTCATAACTTTGATAGAACCTTGGCAGAACGTTAGCCAAACATTATTAAAATGCTACCTAGAAGAACAAAAATTTGCAGTAAACGGTACAATCCAGTGTTTATAATTATGATAATACAATAAATACCAGTATGCGATATCAAGCAGCATAACGATCTTTGGTAGGCATACCGCTAAAATTAACTGGAAACAAATGACACTGGAAGTTTCGCACAGTCATGTTACAAAATGGCTGCGTCCGTTCTTAACGTTAAAAATGAGGTGGATTGTTTGACTTGACTACATAAGATTCATGAGTGTGGATGAACTTTCCTTTTCTTGCTTTAAAATATGTTGGAACTAGTATTGGTTGGCATATTGTTTGGGCCTGGATGTATTCGTCTGGTTGGGTGCATTGAATGCAGCAGTCCTACCTTTGGCGTTTTGGTGCATTTCCCCGTTCTTGCATCTTTGATGTAGGTGATGTCCAATAGATCTGTTTCCTGAAAGAGGGAGGGGCAGATTTTATGCCACAGCTCACAAAAACAATTTCATTCTGTTGAACCGAATCAATATGATGTTAAATATCACAAAAGCCATTCAGACATCACACGAGGTAACAGCACGGGAAATGTTGACAGAGAAAACAATGACGGAAAATCAAGAATAAATAATTAAACAGACTTAAAACATAGTGACTAATTCACACACGCAGATCCAGATCAAAGAATTAACCGAAAGGCTCTCGTTAAAATACCCTGGTAAGGAAATGATGCAGGGCCAGAGCGCCGCATTATTTGCGTCTGCAGTGTGTAATGGACATGCTGATGGATATGCTTTCTGACAGCTGCAGCAGAAACCAAAGCTGACGGCATTCTGCTGGCACGACCGAGCTACAACTGAGCTGGAACAAAACAAAGAGGCATTTGCTCTTTATACTCATTTATGCAACACAGCAATGATTGGAGGGTACAAATAGAATATCATTTTTATGATGGTAAAACCTGAATGTCCTCATGTACTCCACAAACAGCTTCTAACATTTGTCAACTTGACATGTGACGGTGCCCTGTAATGTGACTCTATCATACTCTAAAAACTAAACCACATTTGTCGGATTCCTTTATTTTTTTCCTGCATGCTGTTTTATGAGCTCATAAGTAATGTACACACACACAAAAAAAAACAGAACTACGATATTTAAATATGAGCCAGGGCATATTTAAGCCATATCATGCCTGCAAGAGTGCTGTTGTTTACCAATATGAATATCACAAACAGCGGGATTTTGACATTTCTTTTATACAACATTTCCATAAACAATAAGTTAATATTGAGTAACTTATATTTAGGCACAATGTAGGATTGATTTTGGCATTGGTGGGGATTTAACAGCAGACAACATACATCTATTTGTTTCATCAAAATTATTTCTAGGGACAATTTAGTAGTCGATGGGTATTGGTATAGACATGTCACAGTGTCTCTACTAATTTCTATACTCTTGAAAATCATAACAAGAAATTCCCAACTTTGGAAACTATAGTTTCCTCCTTAAATATGAAGAGGTCAAACAACAGATTAATTAGTTAATCTAAATTTCACTAAAAGCTTATGTACATAATTATAATATAAGTGAGACACTGAAGTGAGTTGCTGTTTTTGTCTCTTCTGAGGAAGATTCATTCACTTGTTTGGCAATGTCAGATTTTTTAATGTTCATCCAATATCATTTTGTAAGTGACTTTTATTTCGGTTTTAAAGATGTTTTTTGGATTGTTTAACTACACTAATCATAGTTTAACTACAGTACTGTGTGTGTAGTAAAACTGTGATTATACAAAAAAAAAAATCTGACCTGAATCAAATGATTTGCGATATGTACTGCGAAATCCCGATCTGAGTAATGATTTGCAAACCATCATTTTAGATCAGGACTTGGAGCGTGGATCACAAATTATTCAATTCACAAAATGATTCACAAACCCGCTCCGAAGTTCCGATCTAAATCAAATGATGTGAACCCGCTCTGAAGTTCCGACCGGAATCAAAAGACTCGCAAACCCGCTCCAAAGTTTCGATCTAAATCAAATGATTCGCAATCCGTGCTTCTAAGGTTGTCTTGGTTTGGGGGAAGTCGTGGCCTAATGGTTAGAGAGTTGGACTCGTAACCCAAAGGTTGCGGGTTCGAGTCTCGTACCGGCAGGGATTGTAGGTGGGGGGAGTGAATGTACAGCGCTCTCTCCCACCTTCAATACCATGACTGAGGTGCCCTTGAGCAAGGCACCGAACCCCCAACTGCTCCCCGGGCGCCGCAGCATAAATGGCTGCCCACTGCTCCGGGTGTGTGTTCACGGTGTGTGTGTGTTCACTGTTGTGTGCACTTTGGATGGATAAATGCAGAGCACTAATTCCGAGTATGGGTCACCGTACTTGGCCACATGTCACGTCATTAAGTCCCGATCCGAATAATGATTCGTGAACCATAATTTCAGATCAGAACTCGGAGCTTGGATCGCGAATCATGCAATTCGCAAAATGATTTGCAAACCCGATCCGATGTCCCTATCTAAATTAAATGATTCGCCATATGTGATCCAATTGGAGAGCTTTTGCATCACAATTGGTTTAAATGATTCAGAGTTTTGAAAATCTACGTCACCCATCACTATACGTGCTTTTTAAAATTATTACATGCAAAGTCGAAATTTGAAAATGAATGGCTCTTTTGATCTGGCTTTTGCTAGTGAATCGCTTGAATTAAATGATCAAAGTTACGAGTTTTAATCAATCGGAGCGGTTTCAATTCAATTGAATCGGTTTGTCTGTTCCTCTGCTTTTTGTGTCTACAGTCATGTTTACACGACACTGCCAGTACTACTACTGGTTTGCTCGCTAGTTTTATGACATTAACTGAAATAAACGAAAAAAGTATGATGTTTACAAATAAAATATACATTTTTCCATTCAAAAGATAACATCTTACACAAATCTATGAAAATATTCAATGAGGTAACCAGTTTACTGCCAACTGGTGAAACGCCCCATTAATATGAGGAGCTGCAGCTCAAAATACATGTTAGATGGAAACATTGCACATTATGATCAAGTTTGTAGCTTAATTCACTATATTTGAAATATACTAGTCAACATTTGAAGTGGATCAAAACCTTTAATCAAAGTTGTCCTAAAACCAAAATGCGTTCTTGTCTTAGGACAACTTTGATTAACTTTTTTGATCCACTTCAAATGTTGACTACTGTAGTTTGAGCACTGCAGTTCTGTTTGTAATACTGTGCATATTTGAGAAATTATTGTATATGTTGTATCTGATTGTATTAGTCTATATGGAGTGATAGTCAATGTAAAAAGAGCAAATGGGAGAAGCAGATAAACACAAAAGAACAACAAAGTTAAAGACAGTAAACTTTATCATTAAACTGAGCTGTGCTCGTATGTTTTAAACACTTCGGCTTTGTTCACTTCTCAGGTAATATCAATGGTATGACCTATTTGAGATTTGGCCGAAATTACAACAACAGCGTTAACATACACATATATTGAATTGTTTGATCAAAATTATTGCTAGGGACAATTTAGTAGTCACTGGACAATGTAAGGGACATGTCCCAAGTGTCCCTACCAAATTCTACGTCCTTGGCACAATATCACCAGTTGCTTTGTCTGTTGTTGTTCCATCAGCGAAAAGAGTTCAAAACAAATACAATAGTGTGTCTGAGAAAATCACTGTTTTGGTGTTTTGTTTCGGGATGGTCCAGCGAGTCAGTTGAGTGAACAATTCAATGACTCACTCATAAGTTTCTTTTGTGCCTGCATGAATCTATATGGTTTAACAAATCACTTAAATGAATGATTCACTGACTAAATCAGTGTTTTGAACAAATCGGTTGAATGAATCATTAAATTACTCACTTATAAAAGACCTACGGCGCTACCTACTGGCATAACGATGCAACTTGCAGAAAGAATTACTGAAAAATACACAAACACTCTGCCTGGAAGAAAGAGATATATTTTATAAAACATACATTAGGTATTACACATATTATATACGTTATAAATCTGTGTTTCTGCACATTATTGGCCTTTTTAAAAATCCACATCTGTGATTAAACAAACACTTTCTATAAGGATAAATTGGCACAAAACAACCAATTATAATTTCACAAAATTAATCAATTTTCATTATTTCTATAGTATACTTCTCTTCCTTTCTAGACATTTTGGATGGGCTACAATCCCCAGCCCTCGCTGACACACTTTTGTGCGCGTGACACACTTCTGTGAACGCGGGAGGACAGCAGACTCCAGGAGATTATATAAAGACATCCAGGATGTCATTTGTTCAGAGCTTTGACCTAAAACACTAACACAGGACAAGAAACACGTCTCCTTTAATATTCACAAGGCCACGAGGTCATTTCCAACTCAACTCGCATTTAGCCTACTAACTTTGAAATCAAAACATGCAGAAATGACATTGACGGGAAACCAAACAATGCAAATGTAAATGTGCGCATTTTCTGAACATGTGAGGGTCCCTGCATGCGTGCAACTACGATGCAGTGCAGTTGCTATTTTTTCGATATAGTTTCCCTATTATATGACTATGATAAAATATTTATGATAATTGCAAGTGCGTGCCAAGGCTGTCTGAATAATGAAAGCATCTCTCACACAGACGGTTCATCTATGAAAACCCGCGTATGGTGGCGGGAGCTTCACCAGCGCCATGGCAACAGGGGATGGAGGTGGTCTGTGACGGGGAGTCGGGCTAAAGCAATATGAAGACAGGCACCAGGAACTCTTGAAATCAGCTTGCAGAAGACGTCGCCAGCAAGCTCAGACTCCGCTTCTGAAAATCCATTGAGACTACATGATCAAATATCTGTTAGTTCAGCAGAGCAAACCGCACTCTATTGACTCTCCATCCACAGAAAACTCACAAACCTGCTACAATATTCAATAATGGAGCCGCTTGTAAGTGACTGCGATGATTTGCTCAACTCTCGCTGGCGACAATCCGGCCTGCAGTGCTGCTAAATATAGAAACGCATGTATTGATTCAAATATACTCTTGGTTTGCATAACAATACAGGATGCTATTATATTACTATTGGCCAGAGGCGCCTGTGCTGGAATTCTGAGTGTATTTTATGGACAGGAAAAACTGTCAGGTTTGCTTTCATTGCTTTCATTGATTGACAAGTAGATTGTTATCTGAGTAAAAAAAAAACAGGGTGAATCTCACAAAACCTGTACAGAATCAGTCCAAGCCATATTTCATCCCAAAAATACAGTAAAAGGTAAGAAATTATACTTTGTATTATTTTTTTTAAAGTTCTATTTTAGGGTCATTAAGATTATATTGCATTGTGATGCACATTTTACTATATAGTGTGATTAAGTAATATAGTGTGATCATGTAAAAAACAAAGGCAGAATAACAAATACTACCATAAATACTTAAACAGTAAATAAAGTTAAACTGAAAAAAAATTATACAAATTATATAAAGAAAAAAATCAGAAAAAAACAACAAAATTACTAAAACTTAAAAAAAGTGAAAAAGGAAAAAAAGAAAAACTGATTCAAAATATTAATAAAAATTATAATAGTATTGTATCTCAATAATACTAAAAAAAAAAAAAAAACACTGGGCAGTATAACAAACACTACACCATAAATATTTAACTATTTAAATTTAACTTGAGTATGTATGGTTGCATTTTTTTATTCTTGTTATTCTTTTCTTTTTTTATATAAAAAAAATGTGCCTAATCTTTAAAGAAAAATGAGGTAAGCATTTATATTTTGCCTTTAAAAAAACAAAGCCCATTTTAGGACTATTACTATTTCATTTCATTGTGATTTTGTTTTTAATTGTGTGATTCTACTTTGCAAATTGTCATTACTATAATGCTCATATATATAATTTTTTCATTATATTTTAAGGGAAATGTGACCTGGAAATGCTTTTGTTTCAGCCAATATCAATATCTATACGCACTGAATCTGATAACTGAATGCAGTTTAGGCGTCCCGAGCCCTTCGGAGTCCCTCACAATTAGCTGCGTTTTATTCAATACCATCTGGTATCTGAAAATTGAGTCACTCATATGAATATTATTCTGATGTTACTCACTGCTGCTTTCACAAACTGACATGAGAAATCACATGCTAAAGTTTGCTGGAATACACTCGCACTCGACTGAATCATAATTGATTCTCTTACATAAAAGGGCAAGAGGAGAGGAGAGGCCGTTATATGCTGCCAAATCCACATTCAACTCATATGACCTCACTTCCTGTCGAGTTTACGCTCAAAGCATGTCCAGGTCACACTTTACCTTGAATAAAATTAAAATATAAAACTTTAAATTTTATCTAGTTGCCAAGGCAACATTTCTCATTTTAATTTAGTTTAACTTAATGTACTAAAATAACTCAAACTAAAACTGAAATAAACTCATTTCAAAACTATATCAACATAGATATAAAAACAAAAACACAACCAAATGACTAAATCTTTAACTAAACTTAAAATGACAACTGTAAATATAAAAATAAAAACCGATTCAAAATATGAATAAGAACTATAATATTATCCCAATGATCCTAAAATAACACCATTTACAAGAAAATACTATTTCATTGTTTCTACTTCAAATGTCATGCTTACTTTAATGTGTTACTTGCAGTTTCTTTGCAATTATTTATGAAATTTACTAGCAATGTTTGAGTGAAAATTGTTTCAAAATGAATCATACACCAAGTTTTTTTTTTTTTTTTTTTTCAGTTTAAATCTTGAAAACAAACTAGCAAAATTGTTTCAAAATGAATCATACACCAAGTTTTTTTTTTTTTTTTTTTTTCAGTTTACATCTTGAAAACAAACTAGCAACCAAATAAATAAATCATTTTTAAAATGACATTTAAAACCAGGAACATGAATTATGAAAGTGAACAGGGTCAGTTTGATTTCATGTATAATTCCGTCTATAAATACAAAAGATATTTTAGGTTCATCAAAAGAGGTGAATTAAGATGTAAAATGAACAAGTGCAAGGTATTTTTCAACATTCTTTTACTCAAAATCAATGTCATGGCAGATGAGCTCTTCATGTTCTGGTTTTATCAGCTCAATGGCCTTAATTTGCCATGATAAGATACGACTGTGCTTTCTGACGCTTTCTGAAAGGCAGAATGAACTGATGTTATCATACCAAACATGCTTGTGATTCTTGTGTAATCATATACAGCAATGCTGTATGCTTTTAATACAGTGTGACGTCTGCTCTGCTCTTCACCCACACTTAACTCCATCAGATCATTTCAGCACAATTACTATTGAGCACAATCTACTAGATGCTGTTTATCAGATCAGCAGCTCCAGGTACATCAGTCAAGATCAACACTGAATGAACAGTACGCCTTTATTTTCATGTTTAGAATATTAAGGCAAACACAAAAAGTGAAGGACAGACTCTGGAACAGTTCAAATGAAAAATCATCCATACTTGGATGAAAATCGCTCATGTAAAGTGGGACATCTCTCTGAGCCAGACTCTGAGGCGATGTGAGCATTTGGCTGTCGGTGCTCCATCTGGACAAAAGACTCAACCTCATTCCCTCCGGACAGACTTTGGAAAGTGACACCACACTAGATAAAACGAACTGTTTCGTTCTGATGAGATGTAAATCTATAATGTCTTGTTTTAATGCTCAGGACACTTGAGCTTAAGGGTGAAGAGAGAATTTTTTAATGTCAAAAATGCTTTTAATGTCATTGGCAGGTTAGTGTCAACGTCAGGAAATCCCACGACCAGTGTTATTATCGTCAACTAAAACTAAAAACACTCAAATATATCTATGTTAATTGAAATAAATTAAATGTTAAATTTTATAAATAAAAATAATCAATTTAATGTTAATTTAATACAATAGAATATTAAAAACATATTAGAGAAATATTCATTTGCATTTATTTCCAAATAGTTGCAAAGGCAAAAAAAAAAAATTCATTAAGTTTAAGTACTAAATGAAGAAATAAGAAATTTAATAAAAACTATTAAAAACTAAAAAGACACACTCTAAAAAATGCTGGGTTAAATACAACCCAGTGCTGGGTAAAATAGGGACAAACCCAGCAATTGGGCTGTTTTTTCCCAGCGGTTTGGTTAAATGTTTAACCCAACCTTCTGGGTAGTAACCCAACCGCTGGGTCAAAACAACCCAATTGCTGGGTTTGTCCCTATTTTACCCAGCACTGGGTTGTATTTAACCCAGCATTTTTCAGAGTGCATATTTCATCGAAACAACAACAAAAACACTGCAACAAAATTACGAAAACGTTAACTAAAATTTAAATTAGAATGGAAAATACATAAATAAAAATTACATTTAGTGTTAATTTAAACAAATTAAATGAAATAGAATATTAAAAAACTTATTAGAGAGTTATAAAAAAACGTTTCAATTAGTTGCAAAGGCAAGATTTCTCATTTTCATTTAGTTTAAGTACTAAATGAGGGAAAAAAATGAAATAAAGGTTTATAAAAACTAAATAGACCTTTAATCAAGACAACAAACTAAATTAAAGCTTTAACTAAAATGAAAAATATATAAATATAAATTAAATTCTAATAAATAGTAAGGTGGTATAGCAAAAATACTAGAATAACAGTGCAATGGACAACCCGATCAGCAAACACTGCACACAAAACTGGGACGCACTTGTGAAAAAAAAAAAATTATGTATTTATATATATATATTTATATGTATCACAAACTTCAATCAGGCTGCACTGGATTTCGATTTGAGAAATTTTACCTTATTCTGATCTGTCCAGTACAGGAAGTATCCCTGCGGATCGACGCGCAACGTCACTGGAGTCACCGTAGATGAATCCTAAGCAGAGAAAAATGACATTAAGTATAAATACACAGCAGAATTAATGTAAAAATGGTAATGGACAACATATTCACAATATGCATTAAGGTCCCATGAAAAGACAAAGATATTCTTTAATGCACAGATGTATTTTCTTTTGAAAAAGGGCTGGAAACGGGGAACTGAATCAGGACATAATGAAATGTAAAATAGCCAATAACCTTTAATTTACATAGACCATGATTTACCACTTGCTATTGCTAGACAACAATTTTGGACAATGCACATCATGCACATGAATCTGAATGCAAAATGGCTTTATTTTTGGTCGCTCCTGCTGGAGGAGAAAGACGGATCTTAAATATATACATCATAAACGTTTCCTTTTACACTAGCATATAGATGAGCTCTGAGAAGAGTTATAATTAACTAAAAAAACATAAAAATTGTTCCTTTAAATAAAAAAACTTAAATGGAAATAAAATAAAATCTGCAGTTTTATTTCTGATGCATGCAAAGGCAACATTTCACATTTTTGTTTAGTTTAACTTGACATATCAAAATAACTAAATGGGAATCACTTGCTATTGTAAGACAACTATTTTGGACAATATGGATCTAAATGCAAGATGTCATTATTTTTGGTCTGTAATGTCATACATTTTAAGAGCATATATCTGCTGAAAGTTTCCTTTTACACTAGCATATAGAGCAGGATTATAATTACCTAAAACTAAAAACATAAATAAAAATCACTACTTGAAATAAAATGAACGTTAAATGAAATAAAATTAAGTCAAATATAAAAAATAAATATATAAAATAAAATATTTCTAATTTTCATTTAGTTTAACTTGAAGTATTAAAATAACGAAAATTCAACAAAAACTAATAAATAAAAAATATTTATAAAAACTATATAGATTCATAAAATATTAAACGCAACAAAATTACTAAAAATAAATAGATAATAGAATGGAATAAATAGATGGAATAAAACAAATAGATGGAATAAAACCCATTCAAGTTGTAACAACCATTCCACATTAAGGGCAATATGTAACACAATAAAATAATAGGGACACCATCCAACTCTTTTGTACAGAGTATAATTGCCAACCAATCAGTACATATCACAGAATATTTAGAGGACAAAAGACCACCCCACCACCATGCAGTAATACCCTATAATCAAAACCACGTCCATTCAGTCCTTCAATATAAACTCAGTCCAAAAATGCAACCCGGAAACACACACTGGGGCAAGAATATAAATATTCTATGCTGAAGTAAATGGAAAAAAAACCCAGCGACGAATGATCTGATTGTCTATGCACAAAATGTAAATTCAGTTCGCAACCACAGTCCTGTAGTGATGGAAAAAACTCCTCAAAAAGCAAGAAAAACTTAATCCAAATGTAAAGTTGCAAAAAGGAGAAGAAAAAGAAAAGACAATCAAACAATCCAAACCCGGGCAATCCAAATATCCAAGAAAAGATGTTGGCGTAAAGTCGGTACAGAATTCAAAGATTCCAGATAACACACCAAACACAGTCAATCAAAATCATGAATATATTGGCCCACCAATGAATGTCTTTAACAAACCGTTCCTCAATTAAAGGCCAGAAGGGACAAAGCTGAATGCCAACTCAAACCCTCCTTTTTCTTAAAACTATCTGCCTTCCCCCCTTGAGCTAAGCTACCACATGGGGTGCGACCGAAAAGCTCTAAAATGCTGCCTTCGGAAGCAGCATTCCAAGGCAGGAAGGCATCAAGGCACGTCCGAATCTAAATTCTGCTTTACTTCCTGTCTCCGGAGGTACCTTCTTCTGATCGAATTTTGAAGGCAGCATAGATGTATCCTTCCCTGCCTTTGATATCCCACAATCCTGTGCTTTCCATTCCGTGACGGTTGAGCTAAAAAATAAAGATGGTGTCTGAAATTTGTGTTTGGTGGTCAGTTTGTGTGTAAATGTATATTTCTGACTAACTTTTTGCACTTTTGATGTGATTTCTAGCGTGAAATCAGTATTATATAGTAATTAAATATTTGTTTAGTTATCATCAAAACTTGTTCTATTTTATTGTAGATCATTAAACCGTTACTCTGCCTCAGAAGCCTGTCCGAAATCAGTTTCATGAGGTGCCTTCGTGCAAAAACGCTGCCTGCAAAGTCTTTGCCTCATACGGCAGCGAGGCAGCAAGTCAGCTGCATAAGTTTTCGGATGCAGCCATGGTTTCAAGGGCTAACCTTACTTCCTTAGCTCTTGCTCATTTGGGTGTTCTATCACCTTTACCTGAGGCTATCGCCCCCCAGGTGACTAGGGTTGTAAAGGGGTGGAAAATTTCCAGAAAATTTCCAAAAAATCCCTGGAATATTCCATAAAATCCTGGAAAGTTTCCAAAATTTCTGGAATATGTCCCAAATTTACTGGAAATTTTCCACCTCTTTGCAACCCTACTGGTGACTAGGAAGAAAATTACACCATAACTGCAATCACATCGAAGGAACAGTGAAAAACACGCTGGAACTGTTACAAAGCCCAATTTTGATGTCAAATGGCAGAATATAACCCATAAAATTCAATTATAATAATACAAAAAATATAAATAATTACTTGAAATAAATAAACTGAAATAAAAAATAAAATACATATATAAACTATGTATTTTAAAGTACTAACATTATACAAAAACTAATAAACAAAAATTAATAAAAACAATATAGACTAGTAAAATAAAACATGCAACAAAATTACTAAAACATTAACTAAAATCTCAAAACCTAAATTCAAAATTTAAAAAAGCTAATAACTAAAAATGAATAAAAAACTATATATATATCAATAAAATATCATAAACTAAAATGCGTTCTTGTCTTAGGACAGCTTTGATGAACTTTTTTTGATCCACTTCAAATGTTGCATAATGTATACATATAGATTAATAAAATGACAAACACACAACAAAATAACTAAAACATAATATAAAATTCAAGTAATTAACAAAAGCTTATCATATACTACTAAAATAAGAGTGGCTCAGAGGAAACGGACGGAATAGAACCCATAAAAGTCCAATTTTGATAACATATGATCTGTACATGCAACTGCAGGAGTTATTTTAAGTGCACTAAATAAAAAGCACAGCAGAATCAAAGTCTTGTGTAAGCCGACGTCATGTTTCTGTGGGAGGTGAAGACTAATCTTGCCTCGCGCAAGAAGAACGCTTGGGATTTCTGTGGCAATCCACTTGAAAACATGTTTCTCGATACGGTCTCGGGACGGACCGAAATTTGAGGTTTGACTCAGACGTTGCATAAGCGCTCTATATTAGAGTGATTCATGCTGGCTGGTAATAATTTCCCACCTGGTGGAAGTCACAACATTCAAGTCACAGGTCTGTTTAAGCAGAACCAACGTCTCATCCGCCGAGCGAAGGGGAGCATTTACCGTCCTCTCCACAGAGATCTGTAATTGATTGTGTTATTTTAGCTCTTGCGTGGGTCTGCCCACATTCTAACTGCACATCTAAGTTGGGCGGTGCGGCATGTCTTCGCTAATGTAAGGCAGGCAAGGAAGACGGGAATCTTAAGCATGAAAGTTGCCATAGCAACAGGCCAACATTTCCCATTTTATTTGCAGAGAAAAGCTTTTAAACGTCAACAATTTCAGCATAAGCTCATGTAAAGCTGCACGGCATTATTGTGCTGATGGCAGTCAGACTCCTCCAGAAAACTCACACCTACTTAGTGATTACAGCTTCTAAAAGAGCACGGATACATCCAAACGATGGCATTTTTCCCCCCTTTTAAACCTGAAAATGCAAAACCGAGAAGCGATATTTCAGATTCTGGGTTATATCATTAAATTTGAGGCACAGACACACCTTTATAACATCTCAAATCATTCTGCAGAACATCATCATCTGGTTTTGTTCAAATACATTCTAAAACCCATGTTAATTATGTTGATTATTCTTATTATGTTGTGTTTAATTGGGATAGAAAATGCTAGATAAATGGTATCAGACTTAAATTTGTGATAAAAAATGTTTTAAATGAGAAAAATGCTGAAAATTGTATCAGACTTAATTTTAATGGTATTAGACTTGAGTTTGTAACACTAATATAACAAACCAGCTTTTTTGGACAGAATTTATAGCAGAGGTTTCTAAAATGAATGTATTTAGCTTTAGAGCACTATAATAGACAAAAGTACTGATGTTACCAACATCAACAAATGTTTGACCTTAGATCATTTGAATAAAAAAGTGTTTCAATTAGAAAAAAAGGCTAGAAAAATTATAGAAATGCTAGAAAAATGCTATCAGACTTATTAAATGTATAACATAACTAACCAGCTGTTTTGTATGAAAAATGTCTTAAATGGATTAAATTAGAACAAATGTTAGAAAAATGTTGAAAATGATATCAGACTTCAATGTATTACCTAGAGTGACACTAACATAATAAACCAGCTTTTTTGGACAGAATGTATAGCATATGTTGCTTTAGAGCATTACATAATAGACAAAAGTACTGATATGTTTTACTCTGGCTAATTTGCATAAAATTAGAGTTACACTGACATATTTAGAGAATTTAGAGCAGCAGGTTCTAAAATGATTGTAGCCTGTGTGATTAAAGCTAAATATAAAAGTCATTTTTGATCATTTTAAAGCATAACAGACCGAAGTACTGATGTTACAACATCAACAAATGTTTTACTTTAGATTATTTACAGAACAAGAATCTCTTAATAGCTGAATTACAGCTGATTTTTGATCAAGATCTGTGTGAACTAAAAGCAAAAGTCCAAGAATTGGTCATTAAGACCCATATTGTTCAACCACTAAATATTATCATTCATATTATAATAATATTATCATTAATATATGTATTAATATTATTCACAATATTAGGGGGAATATGCTAAATATTCAATAAAATGCTTCACTTCTTAAAATCTCTGGTAGCTTTTCTGGACAGAATTTATAGCAGCAGGTTCTAAAATGAATGTAACCTTTATGATTAAAATGACCAAGAATGGCTTTTACATTTAGCGTTAAAGCATTAAAAGTACTGATGTTACCAACATCAATAAACGTTTTACTTTACCTGATTTACAACACCACATCAAAATCTCTTCATATTTAATGTGGCAAAGAGAACACGCCAAATGAATTCTCAAATGCATGTTAATATTTCTTGTCCTGCTGATAATTTGCAATGAAACAATTGTTAAATTAGAAAAGAAATGTTAGAGAAATGGTATCAGACTTAAATGCATTTCCTAGATTTACACTAATGAGCTTATAAACCAGTTTTTTGTCATATGTCATTATAAAAATAAATGCTGAAAATGATATCAGATTTAATGAACTAGAGTTACACTAACATAATATACCAGCTTTTTTGGACAGAATTTATAGCAGACATTTTTCAAATGAATGTATGGCTTTAATATTTAACTTTTGAGCATTAATAGACTAAATTAGTGATGTGTAAAACATAACCACATCAAAACCTAGTTGATTTTTGATTAATGGTGCAACCAGATATTCAAGATCAGCATGAACTAAAAGCTAAAGTCCATTAAAACTCATATTGATCAACTACTAAATGTACTATTACACTGTAAAAATGATAGTTGTAAATAAAAACAAAGATTATTGGAGTACATTTTACAAGGAAATACACTCTTAAAAATAAAGGTGCTGTGAAGAACCTTTTAAGCACCTTTATTTTTAAGAGTGTACTTCAGTCAGTCTATTGTCAAAATGTTACATTTACTTCAATATGTTACTTGCAGTTTTTTTTTTTTTTTGAATTAATGGTAAAACATACTAGCAATTTCTAAAAGAAAACTCTTTCTACATCAACTTTTATTTTCAGTGTAGAGGGAGAACGTATACTAAATATTCAACAAAACCCCTCATTTCTCAACATCTGGTACAAAATAAAGCATCTGCAATAACAGAAACAAATGAAATCATGTATATTGTTTAAAATACAGGCAATGTATTTCATCAAGTCTTTAAATTCCTTCATCTAGAGCTGCAGGGAGTTTTTCCTCGCAGAAAACTCTCTCATCCAACAGGTGAATGTGTGAGATCCTCAGCACTCAATCAATGCTCATGCAGCACTCGCTACAAAATGCGACATATTCGCTAGCAAACTGCACGCTTGTTTTAAAGGCTTCATATTACAGACACAGAGTGAGCAATCGCATATGCATTAGTGCAGTCAGGTTTCCAGTGATACATTACTGCACACAACGTAACCTGATGTCATTCTCGAGGCTCTGCAGAGACTGACACTCGCTCCAGATGGAGTCTGTGCTGATGGACTTGAGAAGTCAAAGCCCGTCTAACATCGATAGAGATCAATGGGGAGCTGATTGAGAGGCTCTGCGGCGTTTGCTGCGTTCATGCTGGGCTTGTAAACAATGCAACATCCGCGCGAGCGATCAAACAAACCGCATTCACCGCACAAGCATCACATGCATTCATTCTCTGACTTGAAGACGTCAAACACACACACACACACACACACACACACAGGCTGGTGGTGACTTACCTCATCCCATTTCATAAATCGACTGCCTCGCTTCAGACTCTCGGACACGCACACCGGCTTGAGTTGAAGCGCATGAACGCCAGGTTGAGCTCCAGCCATTCAAGCTTCAACATTTACACCCAAAGCAGCAGAGGGGAAAATCAAGAGTCTCTCTTTCTTCTCCGGGAAGAAGCCAAAGCGGAGCGCGCTGGATGACAGCCAAACAGTTGTGGTGAATGGAAACGCTTTACGCGCTCGGATGGTCATTTAGAAGCGTTCAATTCATGCTGCTTGACTGGACTGAACGCCGCAGATTTGTGGTTGAGAACGGAAGGAGTGATTGAAGACGCGGAGCAAATGAGCAGCGGAGAGAAAGAGCGATCATAAATGATGGAGAGAGAGAGAGAGAGAGAGAGTCCTCCGCACGTTGACTCATGTGCGCACTGAGATCCAGCGCCTCCTAGCGCGCACCGCGTCCCTCCCCTGCTGGAGCAACCGGCACAATTAAACATTTCATAACACCTCTCCAAAGAGAACGCAGGCAGGACACACGCGGGGATTTTTTTGCCAGCTAATTTAGCCCTACAGAAATCAGCATCATCATTTAATCTGTTTTAATAATTACAAATAAATCGAAGTTTAAATGTTCAAATATGTTGCAGTGGGAAATTAAATTAAATTGTGAGTGTACTAATATATATATATATATATATATATATATATATAAAATCTGTGATAATGTGTGTGTGTGAGAGAGAGAGAGGGATGGATCGACTTTCATCACATAAAAGTCGACTTTAAAAAATCAGAAGTCGTCCAACCCCTAATATATACATTACGATCTTAGTAACCTACTATAGTGTAGGTTAATTAAAATGTTTTTTTTTATTTAAGTTTAAATGCACAATAATACAGTATGCTGCATGAGGAAATTAAAATAATATATATTTTATAAATACATATATAAAGAAAGTAAAGAGCTCATTTTTATTGCCATTAAGATTTTTTATTTTTTTATTTTTTTTTTGCATTGTGACATTTTTTTCATGACTAAAATGTGGGGGGAAAGTAATTTAAATTGCAAATAAATTAATATATAAATCAATAAGTTTAAATGCACAATAATATTATGCTACATGAAATGAAAAGAATATACATTTTATAAATAAAGAAAAAAGGCTATTTTAAAGCCTATTTTTACTAACATTATTATTATTTATTTTATTTATTTCTTTTTTTTTGCATTTTGACAATTCTTCATGACAAGTGCCCTTTCCCTTTTAGTAACCTATTGTAATGTGACAAAAATGTGGAAAAAAGTTATTTCAATTGCACATAACTTAAATTACAAATTAAAGTTTAAATGCAAAATAATATTATGCTACAGAAGGAAATTAAAATAATGTGTACTTTATAAATACATACATAAAGAATGGAAAAAGGCCCGATTTAAAGCCTATTTATTACCATTAAGTTTTTTTTTTTTTTTGCCATTGTGCTTTTAAAAAACAATAAAAAATACATCATAGTATATATATATATATATATAAT